GGATGAGATACAAAGTATAAGATACTGTAACTGTATGAGACCTTGTTTAATATTATGTACTGATTATAGGTAATGAATAATGAGTGTGTTGCAGAGGAGATTAAACTAGCTGATGGAGAGGAACAAGAACTGAGGACTTTATTTGATTATAAAGAAGGTGTGATAGTTGATCTATTACTCAATTACTGATGTTACTTATACTAATGGTATAGGATCAATAATTGAACAAGATAAAGAACTGAATATCATCAAAAAAAGAAAAGGTATAGTTAGTGAATGATGAAGATATTTTATTAATGTATTTTTACTTGTATAGAGTATATTGAAAGGAGACTAGAGACACCAGGTATAGTACTAACTTAAAGCATGTATTAAAGTAATGTGGAGTTGATAATCATTTGAACAATCAGTACAATTATCTTATAAATTAAAATTCTCATTGTGTCATTACTGTAGAGTCTAAACTGAAGGTGGAAAAAGTGAGGATACTAAAGGCTACTAATAAAATATTCAAATCAAAGAAATCAGAGACTCAGTATTTCCGAACCTCTCTCCTAATGAAAGCAGGTACTGAGTCTACTGGTATAATGTGTCTATACTACCTCATGACAGGAAGAGAGGAGGCATTAGTGGAGTATAAGAAAGAGATTGAGTTACTACAAGAAAATATATCAATAACTAGTGTACAACTGCTGATGAGTGAAAAGGGAAATATTGAGAGTATGTGATATGTTAGTAATTAAATCATTAACTGATTGATATATTGTATAGAGAAGGATCAGTGTACACAATCACTGGATACACCAACAGCAGAATCTATTTACACAGCACGTATTGACTATCATGCACTATGGAGTGATGAAATATCATTCAGTGAGAGAGAGCAGCTGAAGATATATGACAAAAGAGGTGGTGATCATCAGTGGAAAGGAAGATCCTTGGTGTCTGGTGATGAGGGATTCATTCCTAGTAGTTGTGTTTACTCAATGTTGGAGTCACTTCAATTGTTAGAGTTTATACTGTCAGTGGAAGAAGTGTCCCTTCCTATTCTACAGAAGATAAGGAATGATTCATCTAGTAATGATGAGAAAGCTTCTCTTTTCTTGGAGACTATTAATGATGATCCTATTATGATATCTGCACTGAGACAAGACAAGAAACAACATGATAAAGGTAATATTTGTGATTATTGTGACAGTCAGTATAATTATTGATGAACATGTAATGTCATGTGTACATGCATACTTGTGTATGTAGCATGTACAATGTACATGTAATTTTATACATTATATTCCTGTCCCTACATATGTACACATTACATGTGTGTATGTATGTACATATGTATTGTGTGTGTGTATTTGTTTATTGGTTGTAGTGACAACTAGCAAGTTGTGTGTGTTTGTATATACACATGATGTGAATATGTGTATTATTATGTACATACATGTATATAAGTATAATCCTTTGGTTTATATTAGGAGTCACTGGGAGAGTGAACTGGGACAGTGACAGTGTATCCCTTGACTATCCATCTCCAGTTCAGTGTAATGAAGTGATTAGTAATATTAATAATAATCATAAGGAGATTGACCTCCGCTACTCATCTACTAATAGTACAGTATCTCTACTATCATCAACTAAACTGCATACAC